CGGCGAATAGCAATGAACTTATTCCAGATCTGCGTCGACATTATTGAGTCTGAACGTTGAGGGCGCCTTCAGTTCGGCTCGATTCCCTGGCTCCCACATTGAAACTTAATTTACAACAAAATAGGCTTCTTAGAGTTTCTCTGTGGATAATTGTAAACATTATCATTTAGTACGTGCCACACAAATCGGGTAGACTCGCCATGTATATTTTTTAGATAAGTTTAGAGCAGTTTGGCTAAATGCAGCAGGTTGGTCAACATGTTAAGGCATAGCACCGTTGTAGCAATAACATGAATTCAGCCAAGACCAGGCTAACCTGGTCTTCTCAACACAAACAAACATATAAGCTGCTCGCAATAATTCGTGCTTTGCTTGTGATTATAGATATTTGAGCAATTGTTGAGTAATTGAACAACGCACGTAGTCACATTGGAAAACTATATAAGTTCAATAAAACTAACAATCTGCAAGAAAATAATTAATAACTCTTTATGCAAACTACGTAAAATACAATATAATTAAGTCTGTTTATATAAATTGAAGTCAGTGCGACCCGATTAATTTCGACCCGATTATCATAACGAAATATTTCGTGAAACTGTATTTCAGTATTGAGCTCTAAAGCGTTTATCATTAAGTTTATTCTTATACCGACGTTGGTGAAACATAATAATTCTGACGATAGTGTGTTGACAATGAATATACTTATGATATACGATTATGGACAATCCTTGAGTGACTGTTGCCTTAAATAAAGTGGTGCATCTACATGGCAAATCGAATTAATTTGAGCTGCATTCTGGTGTATTTGGTTTATTGAAGGTAGTTTGGAGCCTGGCCCAGTTCATAAAAACAAGTGATACGATGTATGATCTGTATCAATACAACCAATGTTTCAATTAGTAGTGATTATTGTTTCAACCACAGAGGATCTGGACTGATCGTGGTTAATGTCGCGCTTCTGTTCTAGAAGTGTTTTGATTTATCGTTTCAAACACTACTGTTCATATCTGGCAGCTAAAAAATGACTTGAACTTGACTATTACGTGTTTTGCGAGAAACATAAATCTCACAGTGCCTAAAAAAAGTGTAAAAAAGATACTATATCGAAATTTTGTAATGAATATACTGTATTCACACATCTTATCTAAGCGGTGCTGCTCGTGGCTGATGGTAGAATGAATTCAATCGTTGGACCAGGTAATTTATTCATCTCAACATGGTCATCCCCTGGCAACGAATGATACAAGGAATCAGACGAGTGGGTATCTCCATCGTTATCATCTACATGTGTTGTCATGGTTACAGTAGACGTGGTCATATCAGCATCTGTTATTTTGTTTCGCTTTTTCATCTTATTCAGTCTGAGATAAACGTAAACAGCGAGAATCGTGACAATGACGACAAAGATGAGAGTACCAACCACGACAACAATGATATCCCAAACTGATAGGCCCGCTGTACCTGAAAGAAATACGAACCCATTTAGTGTACCATTGGCATTGAACTTATATATATGTAATCGTATAATTGGATGGGGTACCCGTTGAAAAATGTATTCAATTTGTTTTTGTATAATATAAAAAAAAACATTAACTTAGTCTGGCGATTTTAAAGTTTGGACCTCCCCCCCCCCCCCCGCCTCTGCAAACAATTCATAAGAGGAATGCCTCGCATCTAATTTGATTAATCAAGAAGGACGTGCGATTCGATGGAATTGGTAACGACTTAAACTTTAAGTTAAGTTAAAGCTCGACCACAACCGAATCTACATAAATGTTCGACAATGTTCTGCTATTTGCATTATTGCTCATACACACTGCGTCAAACTCCATAGACAACATATATTTCATCATGCAACTTTAAAATGTGGGTGATATATGAAAACTGCCAACGGAGTCGACAAAATGGCAGGCGTGCTGCTAGTATGCGGTATTGTGTATTATATGTCGATAGAGGGCGTGGTTTATGTTGGCGTTGTCCTGACGTCTTTTTGAAAACAAAATATTATAATAACCTTTTCACCCTATTTAATAGGTCTAAATACGACCTTGATCTTGAAACTGCTAGTTCATATATTATATATGAAATGATTGTAGGTAATCCTAGTTCCTGGTATTTATTCAATATAACATACGTTTCAGACGATTACTTACTACCTTGGATTTTCTATATATTATATATATCGGGTTTGGTGCCAGTTTTCAACAATGTTTTAATTCATTAGCAAATTTGCTTTTTATTATGTATGTCTATTCTTGTTAGTCCTAAACAACAGTTTGGTAAAATGTATTGACACTTTGTAGTTTGAAAATTAAACTCTATGCATAATAATTATCGAATTTCCATAATTCAAATTTTAGCTGAATACGCAGAATGCAGAAACATACTGACTGTCCTAACTAATTTTGATAGATCGAACAGTTTGGAACTCAGTGACTTCGCAGGCAATTAATACGGTATGAAAAAAAAAATAAAACGTTACCCACTGTCGATCGGTTCGGCTTTACATGGCGGACAGTCGACCTCGTCCTCCTTGTCGATACAGTTGTAGTTACAGTCACAGACCAATGATTTGTCAATACAGTGGCCATCGCAAGAAAAGTCGTCTTCGCCTTCACATGTGCCTACATTTGAAAGATCAATTTAAAACATAAATACAAATAATTCTAGGCAAAACATCGTCGATTACACTGGCGTCCTCGATGGCCTAGAAAACGATTCATGCCTGGCAAAGGTGCAGGAATATCATAGATGGATTGACAAAAGTTTTTACCAACCTGTACCGAAAGCGGTAAATATCAGGGAAAATCCCCGTCTATTCCCAGTGGCGTCAGTCTTCAATCGTATTGTCAGGGAGTCGCCAGTTGACTGTAGATCACCCGGTGTCGAAGTACCGCATATCCTCAGTATGTGAGGGGAGTAATACGTACTCGGTCCATCAAATACGTCTAAATAATCGTAACAAGACGACACCGAACGAGCTTCAATATCCAGCCATTCAAACTGTGCCAAAGTGAAAAAATTTGTTTGTGTTACGCCGATATAAATGCACAATAGCACATTATTAGAAATCTTTTTTAAATCGACTTTCAACTTTTTATTTTAATGGAGGGGTAATTTCTCACCTGAACACTGATCATTTTGCCCTCAGGTGCTTCTATCTTCACCGTGCAGTCCATGTCCTCACTATACGCAGCATCTCTCTGTGACGCCAGACGCTCTCCGGGTATCGTAAAAACGTCATCACAGCGTTCTGACATATACACTGAAATATACAAGTAATTCTTATTAACTAAGATTCTCGTTATATCGATTTTTTTTAGTATTATTTTATTATTATTTACTAAGCATATATTAAAACAGGGGAGTCGTCACCTGCGCAAGCGTCAGATGGCCATAGCGCGTCACTGTTTACAAACAAGCGTCTACCCATGAGCCTTTGCGTTTTTAGCATGTGTTGTTATCGTCGCTTGGGACGCGTGCGCAGGAGACGACCCTCCCGCTTTAAATTATGCTTCTAATTATTTTATTCAAGTTATGAGCATCTTTTCTGTGTTGTACTTAAGTATGCATACCTTCCGGGCATTGACCTTGACTTGATCGACCTATGGCACTGCGCCTTACTAACACAATGGCTTTTGGACACTCTCCAACAATATAACTGAATGAACCCAGTTATATCTCAGGTCTTACAACCAAATAAACGAAAGATCATCCGTTAATTAAGCTGTTGATTTACGCCCACTACGATGAACATGTTAATAATACATTGTAGTCCATTTCCAAGATTTACTACTACATGTATATCAATAACTATGTATTCATATTCACATGGTAACCAATGTGAGCGCATCTTAACATATCAGTAAACACGGTGTGTAATATTTACACGGTACCGAAATAGTAGCAAATACCAAAACAGTTGCTTAACAACCGTGACAACCGTTGTTTAACAGGGGACAATGTACTGCGTTTGTAATGCGAGGTCGTTAGGAAAACGTGTCTACACGTAAGTGTTCTGATAAACTAATGTTAGGGGTCATTACCCTTTTCACCACCAGAATTTCTTGCCAACATTTTCGGCACTTGTTTTCTAATATTCTTCAATATTTCTGGAAATAAACTCTAATTTTGAGGCCAACAGAAAAAATCTCAGTCAATTTTCAGTTTTTACTCAAAAGATTTGTCTCCTTTTTGTCCTAATCTCTCGAAGGGAAGTGCAGACGATAAACCGGACTATTTGTGAATTTGTGATGAAAAGAGGGAAATGGTGGTGAAAGGTTAAGAAACATGGAAACAATAGCTGTCACCGGTCTCTGGAAACGAGTAAATGTGCGTCACAATATCTTAGCGGTTTGATGTTGGAATGGAGATAAAAAGAATCAATTATTGTAAATATATTTCAACTATTTCAGTGAAAATAAATTCTAATGAAAAACATGTTTTCGTCAAAAATCAGTTAAAATGAAATTCATACAAAACAGCCGCCAAAATGTAATTTCACCTAAAATAAGGTATTTTGCAATAATGTTATTTTAAAAGAATCATGTCATTGTCAGTTTCTAAATATTTAACTTTAGTTTAAATATAATAATGTTTCTATTATATTCTACTTTAATTTAACTCATAGAATGAAATGACGCATGCTCAAGACGTAAAACTTAAAATCTTAAATCTCTTTGTTTAGTTCGGGAAAACGCGAATCCTGTCACGTGGTTGACGGACATGCTACAACAATAGTACATTACATAACAGGTGTGCTTACGATAATTCCGTGAAAAAAAATCGTTTAACATAAAAAGTACGTACACAAATTGTGCACGTACTCCATGTGTGCTCGAGAAAAAACATCATGGCGTATGTATTTACCGAGTACGAATTGTTTTGGAAAACCAAAAGTATGTTTGACTTCCATGAGTGTTGTGTCATCATCGACACGACAACAACATCTATTGTTTGCCCGCCAACCGTTTGTGGAACTCAGATGAGCTATTGACATAGTAAGTAAGTAAGTAAGGCAAGTGAATAACACGGAATAAACGGCATACTTAATACCATGTCAAATCATACTAAACATGTACTGCGTGCGTGACTCGAACCGAGGAGGGAAAATGGATTATTTTTACCCCCATAATCACAGTCCCTCATTGAGGGACAGTGCCATAATCTAACGACCGCTGGTGTGCGGCACCTTATCGCTTATTCACTGCACCATTATTTGTGGTTTTCACTGTGATAGTACAGTCAGATCTGAAGGCTTTTGCCGCAATGTATGGCTATGCTGTGTAGCGTGGGTCGAAGTGGACAGGTTTCACACAGCCTGCATGTAATAAACAGTAAATGTTTTCTTTAATTTGGCATAATATTTACCTTGTCGTTTATTCGGCAATTTATTTACTTGCTTCATTTGTGGGTCGCGTTTTTTTAACGATGAGTCCCTTTAAGGGTACTCTATTCTTGTTTAATACAAACTTGACTGTGATATGTGGAGACGGTTTAAATAAATACGAATATGATTTTTTATATTGGGTTCGACTGGGAACCAACGAAGAGGGCAGTATAACAATGTGCACAATCATTGTATTGAGAATAACGTGGCACCAGGCAACGGTTCACGCGATCGTTCGTAAACATAATACAATGTATATTGAAGTACATAATACACATCCCCATTCACAAGTCTAGTACACCCTCTGAGTTTAATGAGAGGTAAACAAACCAGTCAACCACGCCGGTTAGAACAATCTACCTAGAATTGTTAGTACTCGTACCAGTGTTGTAATCAAACGCAACAATCAAGCTAGAGATATTTAAAGCGCGGTGGTCGTCGCGCAGCGCGTGTTCGAATTTCATGTAAACAAGCCATGCATGGCACAGTTCCCGTTAGTTATCAAATTTAAGAAATATTGTTTTGTTTATAGTAATATAGCTGGAATATAACCATGTCAGGAATATGATTTTTTTAAGATTAAAATGATTGACATTTGTATCGGATCGTCAAACAAGTACTTGACCATATTGAGAGAAATTGCTCTGGAACAGCATTCAAAATCAGCCATTTTGAATACATGTATATATATAACATGATGTATAACGAATATATAAAATTTAAATATAATAAGTCAAAGCATTTAAGAGATATGGCTCTAGAAGCCCGATCATTAAAACAAAATGGCCGCCAGTCAGCCATTTTGAATCCAATTTGAAAAATAAAATGACGAGCATCAGGAACCCGTAATGTCTAATGTATATACCAAGTTTGAACAAAATCCACCCATAAATGCTTGATATTTGATGATTTTTTAGGTAAAAAAATGACCACCATTCGGCCATTTTGAATAGGATAATCAAACCAATATATCTGTTTATCTATGACATGATGTATAATGAATTATTCAAATTTGAAAATATTATCAGTCAAAACAAGTCAGAGATATGGGTCTAGAAGCCCATTCATTAAAACAAAATGGCCGCCAGACAGCCATTTTGAATTCGATCTGAAAAATAAATGATCTGCATCAGGAACCTGTAATGTATAATATATGTACCAAGTTTGACGAAATTCATCCATAAATGCCAGAAATGCTTGATATTTTATGATTGTTTAGCACAAAAAAGGCCACCATTTGGCCATTTTGAATAGGATCGTCAAACCAATATATCTGTCTATCTAGGACATGATGTATAGTGAATATTTAAAATTTGAACATAATCAGTGAAAGCAAGTCAGAGATATGGCACTAGAACCACATTCATTAATACAAAATGGCCGCCAGTCGGCCATTTTGAATCTTATCTGAAAAACAAAATTATTTGCATCAAGGTCCCATAATGTCTAATGTATATACCAAGTTTGAACAAAATCCATCTGTAAACAGCCGAGAAATGGTTGATTTTTAGGATTTTTTAGCACAAAAATGGCCGCCAATCGGCCATCTTGAATCAGATCGTAAAACAAAATGATGTGCATCAAGGTCCTATAATATCTAATGTATATACCAAGTTTGAACAAAATTCATCAGTAAACAGCCGAGAAATGCTTGATTTTGATGATTTTTAGTACAAAAATGGCCGCTATTCGGCCATCTTGAATCAGATCATGAAACAAATTGACGTGCATATGTAGAATATCATGTATGATGTATGTGTGAAGTTTGATTGTGATTGGTCCAGGCATTGCTAAGATACAGGTCCGGACGCACGCACAGACGCACGCACGCACACACCCACACACGGAGGTCAAAACATAAGTCCCCGTTTTCGGACTGCGTCCGAACGGGGACTAATAAACAATGTATTATACACGCGTTGTATATACGAGTGCCATATCGAACAGAACGCGGCGCGACGACTGCCGCCCTTTAAGCTCGGCAGTAATCTTCGTTGCGGAAGGGGAATTATGATTTTTTAACTGTTTGGGATGTTGTGGAACTCATATAGTGCATGGGCATGTCTTTCAGTGCTGTTTTGTAGTTGCAATGTTGTTGACCTTATTAATACACATATTCGTATAGTGTCTCTTCGCCTGAAGCGATAATATATCACATCTTATAATAAAATAAAACCATAAATATGACACAGTGTAAATATGTTATAAATACCAATAATTCATCAAGAGTAGAGTAGCAACGCCTATTCAAGGTATAATAGCGTTTATTTGGATAGTTATATTTGAGTAAATACAGGTAGGGGTAATACACAAAGCCAGCCTTTGTGAGAGAGAGAGCTGCCACTTCTAGTATTGCGCCATTTTTAAAAGTAATTTTAACTGAAAAAATATTGAAATGACTACAAAATTTACAGCATACATGTGCATCACTACACTAAATATAATTATATGCGTATCATAATGAAAGGCAATGATCTTAATTTGCAATGCCGTACTTTGCTTTTGTTGTATTACAATTATCCAAACAAACAGGTACATGTTTATTTAACAATGTGAATAAACATTGCCTGTTTTATTTTGCAGCTATGATTTGATAAATTTGCCACAATCGTCGTGTTCGCTATGGAGATCATGGGACGTGTACAGTGAGTGAGCTTGGAATATACAATTTCAAACGCGCGTCGTGTGTCTTACTGAGGCAGGTTCGAACACATCGCCGAACAAAGACTGCAGCGTATTAAATTCGATACTTCCTCCTCGTTTCCGAAACTACGTCTTCAGCGGAAATATTATAACAGAACTTATTTGAAATGCCTGGGAAATTCAAATAATTGCAGCGTTCGTATATTCGATGACGGCAAAATAAAAAATAAAAACATTAATTCGGATTCTCAAACATTAGTACATGCTCGATTCTTTTATGGAATGAATAACAAAAATACCATATTATTATTATGCCGAGAATTATAAACTCACAGCGTCTACACTCACCTGTTGCCCGAACAGTGTTCCGGAGTGTTATTGCGAATAACAAGACAGTCAGCAACTTGGACGGAATTTTGGGACGGAACGCCATAGTGCACAGGTACGGTTTTACTCTGCGATAGCAACCCGGATGTCTGCACGACACGTAAGTCACCTCACGAACTCCAGTTCCGTGTTTGCTTTGTATTAAACCTGAACAACCTATACAGGCTACGTTCATTTGGTAAGCATTTTTTTTTGTTGAAACATCTTTCTATTGTTAACAATCCATTACACACTCCTACGACCCTTTGTTATATTTCTGGATAACTAAGAGCTTTCTTCCGTCAAAAAGATTCCGATATTTTGGTTTTATTTTTTTAGCAATGATCTAAGTGTTATTTGTCCGCTCGCTTCATGCATACACAACGCCCTCTAATGCCATATATACTAATACCTGTGTTGCAAGTTGAATTCTTGTGATGTTTTCCGCTATACCAGTCTCTATCATTTTGATGTAAATAAACAATGTATCTCACACGCTTCATATTCGTTGCTATACGTCACGTGGGACTCGAACACGACGCGGAGCGATGACTATGGCGATGTAATAGTTCTTGTTTATTGGCACAATGATCGGGTTTAAACTTGAATGCTACGAAATACCTATTTTTCTCAATAGTCATGTCAATTTCCCAAAAACGTCTAAAATACTCACATATTAAAATATGTTAAAGCGGGGGAGTCGTCACCTGCGCATGCGTCAGATGGTCATAGCGTGTTATTGTTTATAAGCAAGCGTCTACCCATGAGCCTTTGCGTTTTAGCGTGTGTTGTTATCATCGCTTGGGACTCAATTCCCGTGCGTGCGCAGATGACGACCCTCCCGCTTTAAGACTGCGGAGACACACTGCCAGTCTATTTGTTTATTATTCGGTCCCCGATACATAGCCGTGTTTAAATGAGTTTTATTTATCCACGTTGTAATAAAGCTTACACGGGTTCATTCATGTGTTGTTAACCGGTATGTGTTTCACACGTTGGACGCAGAATGTATTGTTATGCAATCCATATTGAATAGATGGGTCAAAGGAAGGCGTAATAAACTCATTAAGAACAATAAAAAAAAGCCTGAGGACAGAAACTTGTAATGCACTCTGAAACTACGTATAACTCTTTTCTGTGTTCGTGATTCACGAATGAAAGGGTTGCTTAGCAAGTACAAGAAATTGGAATGTTAATAACATATATATTAACAGTATAATTGCACGAATAAATAAGACATATGAAACGCATGAAATTCCAGCAAATAGTGTTTATATAATAACTGAACTATCAACAATAACATGAATCAAGGCAAACATGGCAATATATATTACTAGTATGGGTGTCAGGAAAGGGGTGGAATGTAAGATTGAGTACGATATGCCAAACAATGTTATAGTGATTTGTGATTCACGGGTAAATTAAAATAAAAACCCTAACACTACAGACTAACAACCAACTAACTAATAAACAACCCTAGAACCCCGTTGGCAGGCCAGACCAACACTGGTGTCACCGTCAGAGGCTCCGAACCCCCTGCCAAATTCTAAGGCAAAATAAAATGTATTTTTTGTTTGTACAGTATTGAGTACAACCCATCAAGTCAAGGCAAATCAAGGAGCGTCAGACAGGTTAGTAATTTTCCTTCCCACCTTCATGTGCATATTGTACTGAAAGTATTATTGAAAAATATGAAAATCATTAATCTTTTCAATCAATATTTATGTCAGTACAGTCTAAATACCGATTATTTTATGAAAAAGTGAAAATAACAACAACAACAACTGCATAACAAGTTATAAGTTTGCAGCATAAGGTATCTTGCATTATTCGGTTTTCAGCCAATTTAACCACAGATGTTTTCAATTCACACAATTCGTAGACATGTAGAGACCTGGGAAACATTATTTGTCACGAATCACGTGTAGTTTAACCATGTGTATTTAATTCTCCAAGATCGCAATTTGACAATGACTTGTTCTTTAAATTTCAAAATTTGCTTAGATGTTTTTTTTCTGTGCTATTCGGGAATGTTTATATAATTTAAGTTACATTATTCTAAAAGAGAGATTAATTGAGATGCATACTATACATGTAGTATTAATTGAGGAATGTTGATTATCTTTATGTATTACGTAATTACGACGACCTTAATATCAGAAATTATACCAGCATCCACACAACTGTCATTTTTGCCTTGAACGTACCGTATAGTAAAAGTCTACTGTTTGTACTAGGTAGCAAGTGCATGTTAGTATTCTTATCTATTATGTAATTACTAGATTTCCAAAGTACAGTGTTGTAATAAATACGCCATGTTTTACAGTAACAGGTTACAATCAAAGTCTATGATGACACATTTTACATGTCTGTATACACTCAAATATGCCTTTCTTTTAAAATCAAATTAAAAACAATAGAAGCTGACAAGTTTTGTAGGCTCTACAATGCTATTGTAAACCTGACCTGGGATATCGACAAGTGGATGTCATCTTGGTGTAACGAGTAAATGGTAGTTTGTAAAAATCAGACACTACAATAAGCGAATGCAATGTCTTAGATATGAACAGGTGTCAAATATTAAACTACTAGTATTAAAGATATGCCAAAACTTCCTGCCAAATACACTTTCCTCCCATTGTTATCTCCCGTCCACCAAGTCAATGAAACATATCACGTACATATTCATGAGGATATGATCCGATATGATGTGCAAGTCGTCAGTCTAAATGTTACAATATTGACACGTGATACAACTGCATTGACATTTGACACATAATAGTAATTGCCCAATGTATAAGGAATGAACTTTCTTGGCTGACTCACCCCCCCCCTCCCGATTACTGACATTCATTGATTGATTGACAGAGATTGCCCAACATTTCAGGAATGAGCGTTCTTGTCCGACTCGTTCTCACCCCCTGATAACTAAGTCCTCTAATGTGGTTAAGTATGCCTCGCCCCCGGGTGGAACATTTTAAACTCAATACTAAGTACTGAGTTTGCTAATAGGATACTTTCGCAACATCTCGGTAATCTTTGGTATACAATTGTCATCAGACTTTTCAACAAAAAACGGCCGGAACTCATTTTGTCAGTGGTGCATCATTCAAAGGAGGCATATCAACTGAGTAGGGTGTACAGCCCCCCGGGGCAGCCTCAGCTCAGTGTTGGATTATCTATGTGACATAGTCTTGGTAGATGAACAAGTAGCACGAAATTGCCATCGAACAAAAACCATTGATATTTCAAAATGTTAAACTTTGAAACAATGATTTAGTTTTGTATACAGTGTTGACTACGAAGGTGAAACAAATCAGTTGGTATCATCTCCGCCGCTGAGGGCGCTGCTTCGTGTAAGGCTGTTAAATTTGTATGCCCGGGACGGTTTATTTAACGGCAAATAAAGCTCATTTTGTACGTAATGCATAAGTCAATGAGTAGTATCAGCGGCCGGCGTTATAAACAAGGTATCTCATGATCATGATAGAGAAATGTATCAAACTAATCACTGGCCTGGAGTACTTCCATGGGTACAAAGCGGACCCTTTAAGCTAATGACGATTTTCGAGACCACATTAATGTAGGTAATGTAAGTATTCTTAAATAGGCATTTAAAATCAAGTACCAAACAGGAGGGGAGCTTTGTGTTTATTTAAATAAAAACAGTTTTCCACATATTATGACCCTAATACATTAAAACGTACACATGTACATGTCATAATTTACATTGATTGAATATTATTATTTATACAAATATTTTATACAAGTCTATTTAATATGCCAACATTCAGAGGCAGTTATTTTGGACAGTATCTAGCTTGTTCACCAAACCAACCTCTCTTCCAACTCATTCTCAGTTACGAATAGACAAACCGATTCAGTCAGTATTTTACAACAAAGATAGAAGGTATCCGATACCTCCTGTATACCACCGCTGATTTCTCTAATCTGGAAATTCAGTTCATTTACATTAACTTCATTCGAATCAATCAGTCTGTCAGATATTCAGAAGCTCGTTATGAAATCACCAACAAAGTCATGTCCTCTGGACCCTTTTCCAACATCACTACTTAAGCCTTGTATTGATTCACTGATTCCAATTATATCGATTATTGTGTATCTTTACCTTTCAATCTTTCAATGTACTTGGCCCCATACGTTACACCATTTACATATCTTCGTTAGGCATATCTCATTCATCAGTTTCACCAGTATGCAGACGACAATCAGCTATGTTTTTTAAACAAGAGGATTCTACCTCAGCAGTTAACTCAATTGAGGCTTGCGTCTATACACAGTCCCTGTGGTCTATAATATCAAAGACATAATATATACTTTTCTATTGTCTTTGATAATATCAAGGAAAGGATAACACAAAAAAACTCAACTCAACAACCGAAGTATTTATCCTATCCGGTCCAAATATACCATTGTTTCCTTATCCAATCGACAATTTCCCAACGTGCTCTCTCGTTCTGGTGCACTACTGCACTACTATCGTAGTAACGTTTGAAAACACAGCATTAATCCATTTCAAAGAGCCCAAAGAAAATCAGAGCATATAATCTCAGTTCTACGAAAACTGGATTGGCTTTCCGTTCATCATAGAATTAAGTACAACATTATGCTGTTAACATTTAACTACATCTGTTCCAAACTACATATGTGATCGTCTTCATTTATTTGCACCTGGTCGTACGCTTCCTTCTTCCAATAAGAACATTCTTAGAAAAAGAACAAAGCCTACATAACTACCTAATCACCATTGGAAAGACTTTTGTTTTAGATCCAGGCGCTTTTTTAATGTGTATGATTTATATTAGACATCACTTTGACAATAACATTTCAAACATTTATTTAACATTTCAGGTTTATGGCATTTCAAAAGTTTATATCATTTCAGTTTATTTACAGAAAATTTAAAAATAGCACATTACACATTCATTTATGAATCAAAGTCAGTTGTCCTAAATATACTACAATTAATGTATACAAACAAATTTAATGAATACAAACAAAGATCATCAAAATGCACTGACACTTTAAAGAAAGTATCAATAACAAAACCTACACACTGAAACGTAATGTATCTCTAAACAAAATACAAATGTATATTGAACTACATATTAAAATGTTTATATACTGTTTCCATTATTCTTTTCTGCTTAGTAACTCTTACTTTACCAGAGGATTTGTCTTCAAATATAAATTTTAAATCATCTAACTCACCTTGTGCACATGCCAATTGTAGGTGATGATACGTAAGACCAGAATCAGCTATTTTCTTAGCCATACGTTCGCTCAAAACTTTATCCCTAACAAGTCCACTGAGCGTTGTTTTGTTGGCGTTTTGTTTCTCTCTGCATGTTCGGTACTCAACAATCCAATTAAAAGTAAAACTATGCTCCAGTTTATCTTTCATGGGAAAGTTGCAGCAATTGAATAACTTCTGTAAGGCTCTTACATCTTCAATGGCATTATGAGCATTGTAGTTTGAACTAGTGAACTCCCTGACTAAAAATTCTTGTGAATGAGATTTCTTTTCAGGATAAACTGATTTATATAAAGGGAGCGTATCTATAAAGCCATGTACACATGAAAGAAAATCTTCAAGAAGAGAGCAACGCTTTATTGATGTTACCAAATATCTGCAGTCAAAGCTAAGTATATTATGACCCACCAAAACAGGATTAGGTATGTCTGCTAAAAAAATTAAAAAACGTTTCAAACAATTTTCTATAGTTATGGTGGAGACTGCGTTGCCTCTGTAGCATAGAAATCCATTGTTAATGGTAAGGTGAGTCTTTTCAGAAACCACGTAAGGAATGGGTTGGCTCGGCATCACATATTCATTGAATTCTGTATTGTTGTGAACTGCCGACAGCTGACATATTTCTGCATTTGATTCTAAAAAAAATAAAAAAAATGATAAAATGGAAAACAATATCAAGTATTTCGGTGATATGTGATACGTGACACCGAGAATTAAAGTTGTATTGTCTCCAAAATATTATAAAAATGTATTGATGTGCTTATTTCAATGACCTATGTTATAATCTTCCCACCTAAGTTGAAAGCGTGAAAATTTCGCTTTATTTCTCGCTCCTTCTTCCGAAAATGCGATTTCTCGCGAACGCCGCGCTTGTTTTAATTGGTTGATGTAGCAAATTGACACATTTTCAAAGGCCTTCAAATTAAAATAAGAGACAGTACAACTTTAAAACACAAATCCTCTCATATTAGTAATAAGTGAAATGTAACAACATGTCTCTCCCATAAAGCATTACTGAGGTGCATAACACTATGTTACCATGGGCAATATTCAAATTAGAAGCTATTTTGAAACCCCCCCCTCTAAAAAAACAGTCCTTTTCAAGCAAATGATTTCAAATGGCTAACCTCTATCTACTTACTTCCAGAAGTTGTTTCAATATCAAAAAACACAAGCGTATAGTTGCCAGTGGTGAGTTGTATCTGCGGAGGAGGGTCAATTGCAGCGGGGATTTCTAAAAGAAGGTCTTTTATCTCCCTGTTCCTTGGTGTATCACCCATTTTTTGCTCTGCTTGATCTAGTTTATTCCCATCAATTTTTTCCACCTACCCCGGTGACAATAAGTTCTCGTTGTTAACCTGTGAAATAGTGTTTATTACTTTGTATGTTCTGCTGGAGATAAGCAACTATTGCATTTATCGTCGTCCAACTCATTATACATGTAATAGGCAAAATAATCATTTGTAGCTCAAGCGCTGTTTAATTAATACATGTTTACTTCTTACAGTTATCACAATTCCTATTTTTGAAACGCACTGGCATTGATTATTTTACTTGGCATTATGTAAATGTGCTCGAAATTTGTTTGGACAACAACTTCAGGTTAAAGCTGTCAGATGTAACTGTAAATGCCTCGTATTCGGGCGCTTTAGACAACGCGTTTTTTTTTTCCTGTTGAGACAATATTGTCGACGCATTCGGCATGGACACACAACATTGAATAATATTACTTAGGTCGACTTTGCGTTTATCACAAGTATCAACTGGGATAGTTATTATGATCGCTGAATATCTTTAAGATTTGATCTTATGACATTATGATGATTACAATATTTCTGAGGAGAATTAAAAACTTGGTAATTCTCAAAAAATGTGGTGTGTTTTTTTCTAAAATTTCTTAGTGGAGCTTGGTCATGACTGTATATCACCATCTATTATTATAGAGTCAATATTGCATCGCTTTTCAGCTTGTCTCATAGCCAAGCCATGGTACCGAAAAGTTCTAAACACATTCACGATCAATAGTTTTATCCCTTTACTTTCGGCTGCATAATCAATACTGCTTACATCTAGTATCAAATTACATTACCTTCCCAGTTTCTACACCAAGAATAACACTGCGACCTTTAAATGAAGAAAATATTACATACGTGTAAAAGCATATATGTCATCATAATTGAGGATTACTATTATTTAAATATATTTAAGCGTTGTGTGTTTAGTAATCGAGCGAACTGGATGATGTATTCAAGTTAATTCAACTAATGTAATCTCTACCTTGTCCTTGTTCCTGTCGATCGCCATCATTACTTGCATCAATTCTGAAAATATAATTAAATAAAAAAAAAATAAACTGCAGCCTTACGGTCTCTGGGCAACCACGATGACGTAGTATCAACTAGAATAAGCCTATGCTGACATAATGAATAGGAGTGCCATGTCAGCATGTTAATTCTAAAGGTGTATGTGTGTTGTTTCGATATATGGAAACAAATGATATTCACGAGTGGACTTCAATTGGTTACGCTGAATTGTGTCAATATATTCGGAAACAAATGTTGTAACAGGTATTGTCATCAACAGTGTCAATACCTTGCTCTCTTGGTTGCTGAAACTTCTTGCAAAACTGCGTTTGTACATGGTCTTTTGTCCGCCGAGACATTACCAAGTTCATCTTCTCCCTTTTTAAAAGTCCCATGGTGTAAACCTGACACGGTTCCATGGTGCTCAGCCATGCCAGCATTCAATATATCTAATAATAATAGTCAACAGTTTTTAATTATTTACTAGCCATTGTTTTGATCGCAATAATAACTGGTTGCAATTGCATGTAAGCACATACAATTACTAGACGATTACTGTAAAATACTTTATTTTATCTGGAATTAATTTTCGCTGAGAAGACCTTTTGGGTGATTTGTATGGAGTTTATTTTCACTGATTGTTGTCGAGTTGAATGTAAAATATAGGAAAAAAGGTGTATTCACTGGATTTTATTTTCACTGAATCATTCCCTCGGCGAAAATAGCGAAAATTAAATTCAAGCGAAGATAAAGTACTTTACAGTATATCACTCTATGTACAGTTATACACTTATTATATATATTTTACATTCAATATTGTGTATCTATATAGTCTGGAATTTTAATTGGCTTATATTACTCTCAAATAATCATCTCAATACAAAGCAACAATCGAACATACTGGATGGCGCGAATAATAAGAAGTAGAACGAAACATTGCACCCTGCAATTGAAGCTTGGGCGATTTATATTAGATTTTAGCATTTTAATTATTCAAATCGAGATAAACAAACGTTCATACATTCTATAAAATCTAATCAAGTTTAGAAGCATACTTCAACAAGATTAATTAAGAGAAACATTCCAAATTTCTTATCTGACTTAAGATCTACCGCCCAAACTATATATATCTACAGCATCGTCCAGTGTGTGAGCTTTGACTCAGAATTCAGCCTCAGAGGTTGTTTTTTTTTTTAATTAAAGCATAAATTGGTCGGGGTTTCGTTTTTTATGTCACGTGATCTATATAAAAGTCCTATGGCAATTCATAAAAAGAAAGAAATTTGAATTTATTCTAGTTGTGGCTACACTAAAGAAACAGATCACATTATGCACTCCTGCAATTGAGTATTCTGATTGGCTGAGTAGCATAGAGTTTCATTTGAATTACAACAGACAAAAAACAACGTTTAACCCCCATTTGGTGGAGGCTAATTATATCAAATTTAGGAAATGTTTGCCACGATATACCGGTCACATCATAGCTTGTTTGTCACATATTGACCTTGGAATATTCCATCGGGGTGACTAATTCATCTTTGGCGATAGAAACATGTTCGTTTCGACGAATTTGATTGCGGGGTCAAACGCAAAGTTACGTACCTTTCTTTGCATTTATATCAAAAGTAGCCATTGCCGTTTTCCCAATTTCTTTGCCGTGAGATTTCGTTGTGATACTTTTAGTTTGTTACAAGCGACAAATGTAGCGGCTGCGGTAACTGTGGCGGTAATCCAGGCGGCAGTACTATCTTGATGCATGTGATGCACACAACTAACAGTACCTGACCACACTACGACGCGTACCCTAGAAGACCATGAAATAACAGGTTACAAACATTCCCCGAACTCATATCACATGACCTTATAACACTTCAACTTATCAAATTAAACGTCACTTGTGAATAAAAAGGCATGTCGCTACGAAGGTATTCTGATTTATCAGACTTCAAATTTACCGCCCGCACCATCAATAAATATATATTTTGAGAGTTTCATATATTAAAGTGCATTCAGTAAGTTCTGACAAGTACACGATTACCGTTATAGAAAAAGGGCACTTTGTCCCATTTTCCAAATGTAATACTAGTGCGCTCTAAAATGCGTACAGTTTTTAATAAGCCCGCCACATACTGCTCGACTGAACACGCCTCGACACATCTCAACTCCTCCCAACATGTCCAGCCATAACGAGTCGCAGCAGGCGCTACCACCCTTACTCCCCGTTTGGCTGGCAAAACAAAAATGACAAATCAATTGACAAACCCAGGCCATCAGAGGTCTACTAGGGGCGCCAAGAAGTACCCCCCCCCCTAATTTCTGCTTCACTCACGGTCTCATCCCATACTGTGGATTCACTCACGGTCTCATCCCGTACTGTGGATTCACTCACGGTCTCATCCCGTACTGTGGTTTCACTCACGGTCTCATCCCGTACTGTGGATTCACTCACGGTCTCATCCCGTACTGTGGTTTCACTCACGGTCTCATCCCGTACTGTGGATTCACTCACGGTCTCATCCCGTACTGTGGTTTCACTCACGGTCTCATCCCGTAC